TCGTCACAAAATCTCCTTCATCACTTCTCTGTTGTCTTTTTTTTTGTTTGTTCTTTCTTATTCTCCGCTTCTTCTCCCCCCTGGTTGAATAAGAAAATTAATGATCTCATAAATCTTCTATTGTGGCTATTATTTTTTTACAAATAAATATTTAGGATAAAGATTAGTTGAAAAGAAACAAACTGAATGGGTGAAAACTTAGAAGTGGTACTGGGGGTGATGGCATTCTTCAGTTAAACTACAGGACAACGACACCGTTTCATAAGGTGTAAAATACCACGACACCAAAAAGTTTTAAAGGATTATTTGAAATTGTAAAAAGTTGGATAACACCAAAAAAAACATGCATTTAAAAATTATACTAGCAAGAAGTAAGGACTAGTCTATAGGTGTGAATACCACCACACCAAAGAGATTTAAAGAATAATTTGAAAATTATAAAAAGTTGGATAGCACCAAAAAAATATGCATTTAAAAAAATTGTATTAGCAAGGACTAGTTCATAGGTGTGAATACCATACCACTACAGAGATTTTTTACAAAATGAATGGAAATTTCAATGTTAGAGAACACAACATTTTCCAGCTTTTAAAATTATGCTAACAAGAACAAGTCATCTTTATGAAGCATGGATACTGTAGCTTGAAAGAGATTTAAGGAAAAGTGGGAATTTTAATTGTTCACCCGAAAAAGATTTCCAGCTTTTTGCAGTTTCTCAAGTTTCACTAAATCTGTTAATATGTACCAAATCCTTACATTGACATTTTCTCTTTGGGGGGGGGGGGGGGGGGGGGGGGGGGGGGAGGTGAAGAGGCAAAGAAGCTGTGAATTAAAGCATCAATTAATAGACACAGTACTAGTACTCTAATATACCTAGATGTATTCAGAAAAGATTATATATCTTGACTGCCCTTAATCACTGATTTACGAAGAAGTTTTCTAGTCATTATCATTAATTTCACTTTAAAAAGCCACTGACTTTTCAATTTCAATTTGTTATGCACAAGTAATGCTCTGCAACAGTTCAGATTGGGCCTTTTCATTAAAAATGTTGAAAGTGAATATTTTCTTCCAGCTGCACCATACAGGTATGTACAACACTTCAAGAAAATGATAATTTCTTGGCATCATGACAAATACTCATATGAATACATGCATACCCTTGCAATAATGGCACTGCGACGAGACCACATGTCTCATGTTTTTTCTCTTTCATTTTGTGTCAATAATTGAGGAGAGAGAGCACAAAAGGTTCTTAAGGAATATAGTCACCGTAGCTAGGGGCAAAGTGTGAATTCATCAATTAGGCCTGCATTTCTAAAGGCCACTTCAAATTACTTTCCATTGTATTATTATGTAGTTTCTACATAATGGTTGCAGGAGTAGGACCAAACACTTTGGGAAATCTGTGAGTGGTCCAGGTTGATGCAAGTTTCATAATAACCACCATTATCACCATCGTCATAACTGCATAACTGGTGAATCATGGCACTTTTTGTTGTTGGTGCAAGTGTCAATTGTATATTGACATTAGAAGAGAAATTCTGAACAAGTCTTGAAGGTTTCATGTTGCGAGAGGTTTGCCTACTTTGCAGCATACTTGCAGATGTCACCTGCAATCATTTGATTGTCAAGAAAACTATTGGCACTGCACAATTTCAACAAAACCAAAAACACAAAGCAAAGCGGCCTGGTAACTCTTTTGTAGTCATTTGTACAGCATGTTACGCATTTCCTATTCATCTAGCCTTTATATCAAATATCCAGGCATTTACTGGTTTCAATCTTTGGTTGCAATTTCCAACACATCTGTGGCAGCCATTCTAAAAGTTTCTTTTTACTGCTGTTTTAGTGATTCAATTTCATACCGCAGAATGACTTCCCACACCATAAATGTAAAAAAAAAATGTCTTGGGTAAAAGGTGTAAAAAACGTTATTTCAACCAAAATATGAATTTTGAAAATGGAACATTCCATTTGGAAGAGAAGACATCATGAAAGCACTTCCTGTTTATTGAACAGAACATATTTGGCAATTCCTTTTGCGTAATATTATTGAGAAGAAGATGAAGAAAGAAAGAAACTCTCGCCTCCATTTTATACAATAAAAAACACACAAATTGCATGACACATACTTGTTATATACATGTACATATATTACTTTGATGACACTTCTAATTGGAATAAATCACTGAATTTCAAACTTTTCAAAGATAATCTGTATCATAAAGCTGACAAAGTGACAATGAATATATATATGAAAAAATGAGCAACATGACATGTATTTAGGCACACTATAATGAGTAAAAGATATCAAACAACAGCTGTATATACATACAATGGTAAACAAACAAGGTGACAGAATCTCGATACACTTGTATCACGGGAATGGTTGAACAAACCCTGTCGTAAGGGCCCTTCCATTTCACTGACAAACAGCAAATATAACTATGAATTATTCCCAAATCGATCTCACAAATTCAGTGTGAAAAAAATATGTACCTACATGTATAGGACGCTATGACATTTTCTCTCGGTGACAATTGCTCCAGACTTTATTTTATCAATAGCCATAGGTAGGGTTGCATTATAATTTAGGATTAGGGTTAGGATTATGGATAGTGTTGCCGCTGGGGTTGAAGTTAGTAATTCAGTTAAAGAAATTGGTTGCCGAGCAACTACCACTGGAGCATGTGTCACATAACCACCTATCGGTGTTGCACGTCCTAAATCTTGTAAATTTGAGCTGAGTCTTCAGCAAAATATTTCTGGTAACGGTAGCGTCGCAACACTATTATCTATACCTTTTAGCTATAAAATTGAAGAGGCCATTTTGGGATCAACTTATTCAGGTACTTTATAGTTATAATTGCCATTAACAGTGAATTGGAGCTGCCCTTCATTTACATTCTACAGCTGTACATTAAAATGAGCTCATTTTCCAGCATTAAAGCAATAAATAACACTTTTTATTATAAAAAAAAAAGAAAGGTCAGTTAGCATCACATATACATGTACAATATATGTGCAAAAAGTGCTGTTACTGATGGGCTTATAAATAAAGTACACCGTATATATGCCTAGGGAAAAAAGGGTGAAAGAGAGAGTTTAAAAGAGAATTATTGATTCTCTATTATGGCAAGTGGTACTTAGTCGCCGTATAAAAAACAAAAATGAGTGGACAAAAAGCATTATGCAATAGCTGTATACATTAAAATCTCACTTTAACATAAAGTGATTGGTTAACTCTGCCAGCACTTCTCATATCAAGGTACAGAAGATGCCCCATACTGTCATATTTCTCTAACTTGGAACTGACAAGATTATAAAAAGTTTTATCAGGCAAGAGGAACAAGTTTGCTTGAGGAAAAAGGGATGGCCAATCCCTGAATCCTTTGGCAAGGCATTTATCTACAGCTACCACTCTCCATCAAGGTGTAGCAAATGGCTACCTGGTAGGGGGTATATCCTTAAAATGCTTACAGCACCATGATGCTGCTTGGCTACAGCCTGGGTAGTATCGGTACTCTGTAGGTGTCTTGAGCATCCCTTGGGATGGTTATGTGTGCAATATACTTTATGTAATACTATAATTATCATTCATTCATACTATATCTAACGAATGGTACTTAAAAAAAGTAAGATCTACCATTTAATAGGCAATTAAAAAAAAAAAACATGTTAAGCATCCTGCATTTTTGAAAAATATGGAGGAGACCCTTTTTTTTCTCAAAATGGCCGCTTGGTACATTTTCCCAGACAGTCAGGCTATTTTCAAGATGGCCGCAAGCATTTTTTTTTAAATTCAGAAATAAATCATTTTAGCAGTATGTTTCTCATGTTTCTTCATTGAACAAAAAAGGAAAAAAGCAGGGGGCCTCAAAAAAGGTAGCAGACAGGGATGCCAAACATTAATTTTTTTAAATGGCCATATAAAAAGAGTACTATCAAGTGGGGGCAAATATATACCATATGGCAATTGTGCACATCTGCATTTACCAAACATCCTCCAACAAGCAATGTGAAATTCTTGATTTATTATATTTCCATATTACTTGTGAAGGCCTACAAGATTTTGTCAGCATAAATCGTGGGATACAACATGTATCCACTGTGATCTTTTATTATTTTGCTCTATAACTCTTACAAATAATGCAATTTGCTACATGTGCCCCAAGTTTGACAACATAAATAACTTGTTGATATATATGATCCAATCAGCCCACGATTGCTCTACTTTGTCTTGAATTCATTGAAGAAGATATTGAATGTTTGAATAATGGTTGAATATCTGCTCAGAAATACCTTCAGCGGAATGCTTTGAACACACAAACAGAGGCAACACACAAGCACGTATTCATCAGGAACACGCATTCCACAACACACATACACGCCAGCAGACACCAACATGTACCCTCCTAAATTATAAAATAGCACCAGATACGTTTCCGCTTCACTTTCATCATAGATACCGACATTCTAAAATCTATTACAATTATGTAAGAGATAATGTTTTATACAACATTCTTGACATGAATTTGTGTCATTGCACATTCATGTGTTTATATCATCCTTATATCACAATGTCACATGTTTGGTGTCTGTTGCCCTTGCATCGATTCAGCCCCATTCAGACTTGATGTAGAAACCCCCATCTCTTTAAAAACTACGGCGTCAAACCATCGTGTGAAAATGAACGGCAAGTGACAATATGTTGGGGTATAATAACATAGATATGCTCAACAATGGCTCTGTGTATTTATACAAATTGTGAAATATACTAATGCTTATCCCATTTAATTTTGCCAAAAAATTGCATTATTTCTTAATTGGCCTCATTCCTCAAGTTTGAAGGGGCCTTTAGCTTTATACTTGTTCTATAAAATGAAGACATCATCCTGCTTACTTGGTGTTAGCAGCATCTCTCTCTCTCTCTTTCTCCCTCTCTCTCTCTCTCTCTCTTTTCTCCCTCTCTATTTCTCTCTCTCCCTGGCTTTCTTTCCCTCCCTCCCTCCCTGTCCCTCTGTCTCACTCTATCTCACCGTGGTATTTTCAGTGTTTGATGTGCTTCGTGCTTGATGTACACCCACCCTGTATGTGTGTTGACTTACTGACAGAGGGTGTGTACGTCCTCATTTTGGTGTTTAAAATCCTCACCGCTGGCGTTAAAGTGCTAACATTTGTTTTGCACAACTCACATTGGGGTTTGGTAGTTCAAACTACTGGCCAAGGCTTGGTTTTGCTGCAACTGACGTTCTTCCGCATCAGATGGGAGAATCTATTCAAATGATAAAGATAATGATAATTATGATTGATAAATTCTCATCGAGAACATTGGATGTAAAGGACTTATATACACCATAATAATAATAATAATAATAATAGGCATTTGTATAGCGCCGTCTATCTAGACAATGCTATTCCTAGGCGCACAATAAAAATAAATGAAATGACTTGTATTTGTGTATCTAATATCACACAAGTCAATGAGTACTTACAGCGCATATTGATATATACATTAAAGTCTTTTTCGATACCCTAAATTATGATAAGTTTTTCCATTGCACTAGTTTTACCACATCACACTTAAAATTTGCTTGAACACTACAATTTCAAGCATTCTAAGTTTGTACCCCCATAGTTGAACTTTACATAACTCTTCAAAATGAAAAGTTTTCAAGCAAATCACAATAATAATAACAAACTCACATGCAAAGATTTTTATTTAAAAAAAATCCCCCTCCCATGTTTACATTTATCTACATGTATGAATATTAGGGTTAAAGAGATGGTTGAGTTCTGGGAAGAGGTGAAAAATAATTTGTGAATGTTATCATTGTATTATGCAAGTGTGGAAGAACATCAGATAAAAGATGTTCCCTGAAAAGCATGGCTCTTCAAATGCCTTAATATTCTAAATATGGCCTCTAACATCATAAAAAATCGGGACAGATTTTTATGCCACATGTTCGTGAAGTCCCATATACATCTATCTGTGTACAGTCCTTGTAACTTTATGAAGTCTGGGCCTAATTTCTTATCATTTTGATGATTCCAGAACATTGCAGTACACACCAATACGCTAGATGATCAACCCTTTCTGATCGATTCACAAGTTTCTTTCACGATGTAATTGCATGACCAGGGGGGTGTTTCACAAAGATCCTATTAAACTTGAACTTATCTCTAAGTTGGACTTCAAAATTATGGAAAGCTGGTAGCATCTTTGAAAATATTTTGTAGAAGTTATTTTAAAAGGCATAAAATGTTAATTCAAATCATTCATATTTTCTATTATCAAGGAAATGTCATGTTCTTGATGTGTACTTTATGAAAAGTCTAAAATACTTGAATTTTGTATTTGAATATATTTTATTTTAAGGCTACAAATGGCTCTCCATAATATTTAAGTCCAACTTAGAGTAAAGTTCAACTTAGGATCTTTGTGAAACACCCCCCAGAACTAAACTTGTTTTTAAAGGTGGAAATCAACAATCATCCAACTTGAGACTCACCCTGAATACGTTACTGACTCCAAGCACACAGGACATGGTACGGCTCACATAGCAGAGCACGTATTTACTACAGGTATCTTCAGGGAAGTAGCTGGCACCAAACCTCACTTTACCAAGACCAGAGCTACTCTCGCCGTTGGAGTCGGCCCATACGTAGGTGAGGTAATGCTTCTGGGCGGTGTTGAACCCAACCTGCAAGGGAGATTAAAGGGGAAAATTAGACATTTTGGATAATAAAATCTATTATATACCTATCTTTAGTATGTTGAATAAATCTAGTCATCTGATTGGTCAAAATCGGAGTTGTGATTTCAGCCATGCCCGCCTACCGGTCAATAGTTTTTTAAAAGATGCCCGTTGCCCCAGGTAACGGGCCGCATAAATATATTTTGCTGAGATTCCCATTGGTTTACGTGTAAAAAGTTTCTTTGTGCGAGTGCAGATACCTTACAGTGCTTTTTGTCTGCGATTCCCGAGTGATCGGACGTTCAGGGAACTTTTCAGCGAAATTTACAGACAGTGTCTCAGATTCTCTGTGATTTTTAAACCAGTCTTTACTCAAGAAAAGGATTAGGTAAGAAATAAGAATTCTTTGTAGATTTTTTGTGAATTCGGTATATAAAAGATATATCGACAGCTTTAATATTCTAAGCATACCTTTTTCTATACTGGCTCTCGGGGACGTTACATTCTGATATGACCCCTTGGCGGGCCTCGGGTCATATCAGAGTGTAATGTCCCCTTGAGCCTAGAGAAACAGCAATGCCTCTCATAGCAGTCAATATATCTATACAATGTATTTGTTATACATTATCTCTCTTTAAAAAAGCCCAAATTAAACCTTCTTACTTTACAAATCAAATATTTCCACTTTCAGTCAAGCAGTAATAATTTTAATTTTTAAAGCACATCATATAGTAAAACATCCCTATGAGCTAATGCTATGACCTGGAATGATATACCGGTAGGCAAAAAGGATATTATCAAAACAAGTAACAAATTAATGTCAAAGTAGCTATTTTCAAAAATAACTACCTCAACTTTGATTTGGTACACCGAGAAAAAAATGGCTACTTCTGAAGAAATCAAGCACCCAAAAATGTGAATTGTTAAAGCCTTTATCATTTCCACACAATTTCTCATGAATCAATTTTCGAAGTCTCATATTGTGATTCTTGGTGAACCTATAAATTTTCATCCATATCTCAAGTCATTGTCATATCTTTTAATTACTCTTTAAAGATATTATTATTATTTACTTTTTTCATTGTTATCTTGTATTTTACCATGTATATACAGGATCAATATGAAAAACTGCTTTGGCTGATAGTGTCATCCTGTATAAATATTTTAAAATAAATAAATAAATACATTAATAAATATCATTTTCCATTTACTGGCCTCACCTTGTAAAGTCCAACCCAGTCCCAGTTGCTTGTTTTTGTGTCAGGTAAGACCGTATATGAACACTCTGCATCCTGCCCTCTACTCCATGACTCAACGGGTGTGAACGATACCAAAGGCTGGGCATCCTCTATTGTTATCTGGGAAAAAAAGAGGAAAAGAGCTGTTTATTATTTTGGTATTAGAAGAAAACAATATACAATACACTAAAAGAATGAAATTATTACATTTCTCATTGTGAATATAAATGTAACAATGAGTATGAGCAATGCTAAAGTGTCATAATGTGAATACAAAGATAAAATATTCTGCAATAAAAAAAAAACAGGAAGAACAAAAGGAAAAGGAAAGTAAAGGGCAGAGACATTATATTCTGCATTATGTTACTGGGTGCTTCCGATTGAACTATTCATCATGTAACTATTACAATTTTCTTTTCTTTATTATTATTATTATTATTATTACATAGAAACTTAATACCATCACTATTGTATCTTCTTCTCTTAAAAATTCATAGAATAAATCATCACTGTTAGAAAGGAGATTGTTGATTTGGCAATGATCCAAAGTCATCATGAGGCAATGGTGTGAGGGAAGCACTGATCTGGGCCCTGTTTTTTTTTATAAAAACTTGTTATTGATAACAAATGCTCTAATTTCTCTGCCAAATTTGCTCTCAGCCAATCAAATGCCACCATTTCAGTAGCTTCTGAATCAGGGCCCTACCTGTACACGGTCTGGTAGAAGGAAGTTGCCAACACATTGGATACTGACCCACCACAAGAGGGAGACATTTGGCTAGCTTGATAATGGCTTGTGGTTCATGGATACATACAGTATATCTTGTTTTGATTAAAGACAAGCTTGAGTTCTGGTAATGATGGAAAATAAAATCTCACAGAATCCAACAAAACTTACACTGAATGTTCAAGATTACAAATACATGACATGTACTAAACAATTTTGGTCGAAAATGTATAGGGGCTGATAACTCAATTGGTCATTGAATCAACAACAAAAAAGCCCTACCCCCCAAAACCACAGCACCTGACTCTGCTAGTGTTAGGTACATCAAATCTTTCACAGGTCACCATCTCCCAGCCAGGTATTAACCTACACTGAACGCTAAGGCCCGAAAACAAGACAAATTATATCCAGTTTTTGTAGCCGCAGTCTTATTCCTACACCTACAGCAGATCAACTTTGTCACCCACAGGTTGAAGTGTACAGCACTTGTTAATGATGTATTTGACTAATGACTACTGACTGTGCTCCACTGCAGGCCTTAAATTTCAATATTTTAGGGCAAGGCCACTTTTCTGTAGGGCATATTCCTATATTAAAGCACAAATAGGAAAAATTGGAAAGGGCACAAAAAATCTCCAAGGCCAATGAGAGGGGCATTGAGGCCAATCAAAAGGGCATCCACGGCCATGGCCTTGGATTAATTTAAGCCCTGCCCCTGTGAACTTAGTTACAGGGAGTGTAGCCTGACAAAACTGTGTGTCTTTCCCGCGTCCTGACTACGGATGACACGACTGCTGCAATCACGTGCGTTCAACATACGCAGAACCATAGCGTGAGGAGGACTTTAGTCTGTTTCGCGAACGCTGACCAAGTAGAGATTAAGTCGCTGACTACCGTTAATAGAGTCCATTCCTTTACGTGCAGTTGTCCAAAAGAACACGTAGATGGTGTTGACCAGTATTTGCAAAGCTACACTCCCTTTAATTAACAGCACTTAACAGATTCTGGCTCAGAGTGGACAATCTAATAACTCAATTGGTCATGGAATCAAAGAAAACCTAAGCCCTACCAGAAAAAAATAGCACCCTACTCTGCTTGCCTTTAACCTATAATCCCCCATGGGGTGAAGTGTACGGCACTTGATTATGATGTATTTGACTAATGACTACTAAATGTGCTCCGCTGTCAACCAGTTAATTCATAACACTTATCAGATTCATTAAGATAAAAGATTGGAAACAGATACTGATGACAAATTGTCATGTGTCCTATGATAATTGGACTTTGCACCAAAGTGGGCGAGTCTGATTTCGTGAAACATATTTTCCATTAAAGGCATCGTTTAACAATCTGAAATCTGAAAAATTGCACTTCAAAATGATCAAGAAGTGCCTCCAAAAAGTAAAATCTTTGAGTGACCAGTTTTACCATAGGCACTCGTTTTCCCCAATAGACTGTAGTGTTACGAAAACCGTTAGGAAAACGCAAAATTTGATTTTGATTTCCAATCGTAAATATCTTGATAATCAGACAGGCGATCGGCTTGTAAAAATCATGGGGTTCCTGACCTAAAGGTTTATAATTATCATTGCAGCATGAGCTAAAGATTTCGTTTCAGAATCTAAGACAAAGTTACCGGATCCCTTTAAAAATATTGGTCCTTGACCTTTGAATGCATACAATTTTGACAATCATTTACAGCGCAGCATTGGAAATTGCCACACTATGCAGAATTGCACATGTGAATGTGATAAGAGTTAATCATGGATAATCCACAAACCCTTTGAATATGAAATATGAAGATTCATGAGCTTATCTGTTCCTTGATGCTCTATTTTTTGCCATGTTCCATCATAATTTTTCCCTCAGCTAGCTAAGAGATTGCTGCAATAACCCGGAATTTGTTAAGGTCTCACGGCAGGAAAGAGTTTAAAATAAGTGCAACACCGGCAACTATTTTTACACAATCGTTTGTGTGCTACAATATACAGATTTGTAAAGCAAACCATGCTGACGTCATTTCTTTCATTTTGTTATTTAAAGGGAGTGTATCATGCAAAATACTGGTTAACGCCATCAACGTCTTCTTTTGGACAACTGCACATAAACGAATGGACTTGAGTAACTGAGTCAGTGCGCGCTAGCCTTCGCGAAACAGACCGGAGTGCTCCTCACGCTTTGGTTTCGCGTATTTTGCACGCACATGAATGCTGCACTCGCGTCGTCCGTAGTCGTATTATACCCGATTGGCACCGGGTAGGGCCACAGGAAAGACACATAATCTCTCCATGACACACTCCCTTTAAGGTGGTCTACCATGTCATGTGGAGAAGTTGTGAAGGAGGCATTATAGTTAGCTTGTCTCTTTCAATAGTTTGCATATAACTGGTACTGTCTCCAAGATATACTACTAAAGAAAGCAGGAGAACAATGTGGGGAGCACATACCTTGGCAAGAAACTCGGCACTGACGGGTCGATGGTCACTCCAGAGTATATCTGAGTGTGCATGGTAGGAGAGTTGTGTTATGCTCAGGTAGTTCTGATCTATGCTGGCACGTAGGTTGACCTTCCATAAGATCCTATCGGTCCAGGCAGGCGATCTCTGTTTAGGACTGAAGTAAACAGAAGTAGGGATATTGAAGAGATTTTAATTACAATGCTGACTGCAATGATAGTTATAATTATGATGATGATGATGATGATGATGGTGATGAGGAGTAGGAGGAGGATGATGATGAGAATAATTATAATAAAGAGAATGATGATAATGATGATGATGATGATGATGATGATGATGAAAATGATGCTAATGTTGCTGATGATGCTAATAAAGTTCTAATCAAGATAAAATAAAAGGAAAATAAACAGAAATTTAAGACAACACATTTTGACAGAGTGTTAAAAATATTTGTTATCAGTGTGACAATTGACGTGTTAATGATAATTAGGATAATGAGGATAATGAGGATAATGATGATGATGATGATGATGATGACAATGATACTAATATAATGTTGTTGGTGATAATAAAGTTCAACTAAGATAGAACAAAAGGATAATGGAAATTTGAGACAACACATTTTGACAGAGTGTTAAATATTTGTAATCAGTGTGACAATTGATAAAGCTTGTTTGCAGGTCTGAAATCTGTCTCCAAATGCTTATCGTGCAGCAAATGAGTGAAAATAAACTAAATCATATTAATCTTACAACAACATACAATAGTCTTATAAAAGCACTATTTCACTAAACTCACAATAAAAGTATCATATGGGACTACAAAAGATACTGGCAGCCCAAATGACCCAAAATCTGGATCAATCTTTCCATTTTTTTCTCAGCTATTAATCATTTTCTGTGATTTTCATTTCTTAAAAGTAATTATTTCCAAGTTATTAACATTTGATGTAAACAATGCTGAATGATATGAAAATCTTTTAATTTGCCAATTTTTAATTAACATAATTCAAAGATTAAATTCAACAGGTTCATGAAATTGATGCTGTACCTGGTATCATATTCATTTGATTTCAAATCAAATTTATATGTGGGCATGAAAGTGATGAGTCCCTCATGAAATCCGTTGAATGCTTTCTTTTTTCTCATGCTGTTCAGGAGCTGATCTTTCTCCAGCAGAACATGAAGTTTCTTTGGGGATGCCAGGAATTTAATGGCCTCCGTCGAAAGGTCTTCTATCCGATAGTTCAGATCGCCAAACCACATAACGTAGCTAAAGAGAGAGTTGGACACAAGTAGAGACATACATGTATGAGATTGGAGACAAATAAAAAAGAAACGTATCGATATGTAAAATTAGGATATATCTGAAGATTGAAAAGTTATAATTGGTTCTGTAATCATAAAAATAATTACACACAAGTTGACTTTCAAATAACACATAAATCTTCTCTTCCTTCTACCATATATGCAAGTCCTCATTTAACTTCTCAAAACCTTCCAATATTTCTGTATCTCCATTACTTTTGTTTATATGAACATCTTTAAAAATACTTAAAGCTTACAAACAAAAGAATTTTAGCTTGCTGACTCATATAAACACTACACATGTCAGCCTCAAGTATTGCACTTAATAGGTAAACTTCTATCTATTATCATATCGATACCAATAAGTCATTATGAAACTATCCAGACAAAATTAATGTCTTCCCCCTGAATGTATTATTGTTACTTGAGAGAAGGAAAAAAGGTACAAGTGAGGCTTTTACTTTCACTTTTCATTAAATCTTTATCTTATTAATTCATGTTGCTACTGTTCTGTAAATTCTTGTGCATCTTATATGATGGTTTGAAACTCTATATCTCTATTTTAACTCACGAAAATGATGTAAAATCCTCAAAAAATTATTTGGTTTGACTTACTCATGGTCTAGAATTGAGGATGTATTGCACTGTGGAAATTCTTGAGTTGAGATGATGGTCTGGAACTCTTTATCTCTCTTCTCCCAGCCGTCTTGGTGAGGTGAAAGATGTACGTTGAGAAGACAGATGCTCCGACCATAGCAGTCAAAGCGAATGGTTACTGCACCTTTATTACCCTGGTAACAAACACAGACCACAGATAAAGGCACAGATACTTGGGAATGAATGAGCAATATTCACAATATTCAGAAACCTGCATAAGTTAAACAATGTTGTTACAGTTAGCCAGGCTTTAAACTGGAGAAAGGTAATGTCCATACACATGTATGTTCTACTGTAAATGTGATGAATAATTACCTAGTCATTGCCCATAATTCATTTTTACTGACCTACTTGTATTCTACTAAATAATAGAGTAGTACAGACAACATTTTCTTTGATTTATATAAATCATAATTTTCTCTTTGAAAAGCAAATGGTCACTGCCCCTTCTTTATCTAGCAACAAACACATCATAGAATATCATCAAAAGTATCATCCCTATTTAGAAATCATACATGTATGCTTCCCCCATTGATGTTGCTATTCCTGGCATCGTATTACCTTCAGGTAATAACATTAGTTGATGGGTATCTTTTTAGTATTATTTTGAAATTCTACATAGCAAATACTTTCATCGTTATCTGTGTGTTATTACTGAAATCAAATGAAAATTATATTCTTCTCTTTGAGTTACTGATATGAATAAAATAGCTTCAAGATTAATTCTACCAGAGTAGAATCTTCACATTTCCAAAAAGAAATTCTGTAAGTTTTTTTTGTTAAAGGTATTTCAAACTTACCCAGACCCCTCCTAATCCAGTCCTTGTGAGTGCTGTCTGAACATTATGAATGAAGGGAAGATGTGGCATTCTCACGTACAGTAATATAACCAGACCTTGAAGTCTTACAGAGTTGATCTATTGAAAATAAATATTGCGCACATTCATATGACACATTCATACATTGTACAACAAAGTTAATCATTATATAATCTATATAACGCATGAATTCACAAAATGAAAATAATCCTTGTATACACCCTGTAGTTCATATGACATCTTCATAAATCTTCAGATACAAACTGCTGACAAATTTTACTTTAAAAGATGGAGAAAGAATAATAAATAAAGGGCTTGAAATCTATGTTAAGTAGATTGTCATTTGGCAGATCTATCTATCTGATATTCCGATTCTCAATTTAATGTTAGCTTACATCCTTTGTCCACGGTTGAAATTAGGATTTTGTATAGGGTAGGAATTCGACCATATCCATAAATTAATTGTCCAAGCTTCCCAACTTATCCTTTTTTTGTTGTTGCACAGGTAATGTGGTGCAGTGGATGTCATTACACTACTGTCAGTACAAGGTTTGCGTCCCTCCCACATTACTTTCAGCATTAATCTACATTTGCCACACTTGACCCAGGTCTCTTTAATGGGTACTGGTAGGAAGAAATTCATTGAACGCCACGTGCCTTACCAGGGCAGCAGAGCTATAGCCAGAGGACTATTTCCAAAACTCTGGCAGCCCACAGGGATATCAATGTCATCGTTACAGTGAAACTTGTTTGTCTATTGGGACCACTCAAGGGAGGCAAGAAGGACTTTCTTTATAGGTAGGTGATCTTTATGTACAGGTTCATTTAGTACACGTTTCAACGAGACAAATTATTCAAGACAAACAGAAAATGTTGCAGTTTTAAACATGTGGTCTTTCTATACAGGTCGTTGCTAAAGAAGGTTTCTCTGCATTTTGGCGTCCCCTTCATCAACTTACCATGACATAACCCTTAGGGCACACTATGCTTGAGATGACCTCCGTCCAGGGGTCATCGGAGAAGGCACTCTGTATGAACTCATGAGGCTTAGAACTGACCTCCTGCAGGCCCCAGATGTACATGTCGGGAGCATTCTGAGTCTGAATCCATATTATGTCCTTGAAGGCTTCGATGGGAGGTGGTTCCTGGATCGCCACATTCCATGTACTTACACAAATTCTGCATTGCCATGAAGAGAAGATGGACAAATATTAAATATACTATGAATCCCTTTTGCAGCCAACATTAAATTCTGTAGAACTTTGCAGGAATTATGAATATGTCATGTACAATTGTACATGTACGTCCTATAGATCTGTGAAATTTAAACGCAGGGTTGGCATATTTCCCGCTTCGGAGGCTTATTTCCCGGACACCGGGAAATAAGCGGTATTTACCAGTATTTACCGCTTTTTACCGGTATTTACCACTTTTTACCAGGAAATATATTTTTCCACTCACTTGTTCATAGGGATTGTCCAATTTTGAACATAAAAACAATGGTGGTGAGTATGGTTGCTCTTGTGTGTACTATTTGTGTGTGTGTGTGTGTGTTTCGTGTGTTTGTCTATGTCTGTAAACTGTAATGCTGGAAAAAAATACAGGAAAAAGATACCAAATATACACCTAATCTAGATATGATGTTCTTCACAAGTCTTTCGTTTTTTTCCAATATTGTGTTCTTGATCGGATTTCATAACATGTGAAGTAGAATATCATTTTGCATTCTATTATCTCAATCACAAGAAAGAAGGAAAAACATGAAATTTGATGTATAAAAGGCATGGAGAGTTGTCCACAAATGATGTCATCAAATTGAATATTGCCCTCTAGTGACTAGTCATTTCAAAAAGCTTTAACTTCCCTATTCCTTGCCCGATTTTGTTCAAATTTTCACTGATTTTATTCAAATATCTTAAACTTTACAATAAAAGTAACTTGTATGAAGGTTTTGATCCTCAGTTGCTAATTACATGTACCATATTCATGAATACCTATTAATTAGCATATGCACAAAATGCCATTTGTTTGGGTGTGTACAATTTTGTATGCAGTGAGGATTTTATAAATCTGTTTGTGTGTTCCTACTGTGAGTATTTACTATGAGTATTGTGCTGCTAATTATTTCAGAACAATATTTTCAGTTATGAGGCTAAAAACAAGTAAAATTATTAATAAATAGAGAATTAAAATCATATTTCCCGTTTTTAACTTATTTACCGGACGGTATTTACCAGTATTTACCGCCGGTAATTACCGTATTTACCGCCCAACCCTGTTTAAACCTTAGCAGTGTCCTAATATTCAAATTATGCAAGGAAACCTGTTTACTTGCTAGACTTCACTGTCAGACATTATATACCTCACTTAAGAAATCCAGCCATCTGATTGGTCGAAATTGCATTCATAAACTTTAACTATTCCTGTAAAATTCCCGGTAAAATTCCAAACCCATGTAATAGTTTTAAAAAATAGTTCTAAAATCCCAGTAACCATGGTTACCCATAGGTTTACATGTTAAAAATGGTTTGAGCGATCGAGGATACCGTACGTGTGCGAAGAATTGGTCTGTATTTTCATACAAGACAAGACAATTCCAAACAAGACAAAAATGGCTAAAGAAACTCTCCCAAGATTTAAACTTATCAAATGCAAGCCTCGCTGAAAGCAAGAACAACAAAAAGGGTACGTGAAATTATCCATAAACATGTTCGTTTAGTTGCTGAAAAAGCATTGACGTAGACGAAAATAGATCCAGTAATCAGGGTGTCTGATCGCGCACCCGATGTTGTGTGTTAAAATTCTTCCCATAGAGATTGCACGCAATGCAGTCTCTATGCAGTCTTCGTGCATTGCGCGACCATGCAAAAAAAGTCAAGTTTTTTTTTTCAATTCGAGATTCAAACCTTTATCTGTTGTGATCCTGAAGGTGATACTCAATAAGTGAGGTGTCATATGAAAGCGCAGGTTCTTCTCCATATTACCCACAGGGCCGGCCCACCCCACAATTGTAAAAATATCTTGCTTAGACTAGAATCTAGATCTAGTCTACTCTCTAAGATACACTCATAAAAAACAACCGTGCAGATAATGCTATGGTCACATTACCCAAATGTAGCCTGCTCGGCGGCCGAGCGGCGAGTTTTTAACCAATTCTGCCCGGCGGCTGCCCGGCCACCGAGCGGCGGCCGCCCAGGCACCGCTCGTTTTTAGGGCATCGCTCGGTCGCCGCTGTTTTAGCGCGGAGTTAAAATTTGGGTGGCGCCTGCTCACTTTTCACTCGCCACCCAAAATACGCTCGGTGCCTGGGCGGTCGCTGCCCGGGCACCGACATAATCGCTGGGCGATGCCTAATTCCAGCAGCGACCGAGCAGGCTACTGATCGGTCGGTCGCTGCTCTGATTTGTGACCATAGCTTAAACTAGAGAAAGGCCAAGGTGGTGTCATTAGGCGACTCTTTTGTTTTCGGCATATAAAAGTATTAATGACTGCTTTAATATTCGAGAAATACGCTCTCTGGAAGTTTACAATTGGGCTATTGCCCTCGGCATGCCTCGGGCAATAGCACGATTCTAAACTTCCCTTGAGCGTATAAAAACAACTATTTCTCTCAAAGCAGTCATTAATACTATACTAATGAGTGACTGACCGGCTTTTTTTCTTCTTCAACATGGTAATAACATACATAAAATGAGCTGTAAAGGATACATGAGCATTCGTCTACATCAATAACCCACTTCTTGTAATGGCCAAAATTAAACTGATTATATCTTTGCGTAGCCTAAAACATAAGACCATTCGGAACAGTGGTCTGAAAATCAGACTATTGCTCTTAAGTCGATTCAAAAACTAATAGTCGTTATTTTCCCACTTTAGGACATTTTCAAGCCCCCATTTTTTAGGGAACTTCTAAATTAGTATTATCTTTCAAATGCTATTGGAATTTAACCTTTTCATTTTTTTGGCCTGCAAATGCCAAAAAAAGATTTTTTCAGAAAAAAATTAAGCTACATCCTTGAGTTCTTCTTGTTCGGAAAAACTGTGCACGAGCTACGAGTTCGTAATGACATGCACAGTTTTTCCGTTATAATCATTTTGCCTTCGGCGTAGACTAGAAAGAATGAGACTCGGCTGCAAGATTTTCTTCATGGATGTCGATCTTGACCCATAATTTCCTAAAAATGGACCATTAAACGGATTATTCCAGTCAAGTTGGTAAGTGGAACCGAAGTAGTCAAGTATTTAGCTAATTTAGGACTTTAAATGCATCGGATACGCATCCGGTAAAATATAAAAATTAGGGATTAAGTTTGGCCAAGTTTTGTGTAACGTTTCTTAGTACAAACGCGCGGCCACTACAGCGTATGGGGCTGTTCTGTCTCTAAAGAGAGAGCCGACCTACCCAAATCAGAGGCTAACGAACGAAAGAGACAGAAAAATTCGGTCTAGGTTTCAGGCTAGCCTCGCCTTAATTTCTTGATGATATTAGACACTTTTCTTGATTATACATAACATGGACATACTCTCTCATAGTCCCATGTTCAAAATGACAATGCTCACGATCAAAGACAAAGGGCAGGCGGCTTAAAGGTTTGATCGAGTCCCAGTTGAAAAGACGTTTGATAAACGGAGTAGTAAATAAGTGCCGCACAACATCAAAGTTAATAGGTGGGACACTACAGTCGCGATGGGCCTGAGCAGTTTTGGGTAAATTTCATCTTTCATAAATACTTTTATAAAATGGCTCTAGTATTTTAAGCATCGTGATTGGTCAATACGCGTCACATGACATTGAAAAAATTTTGATGCAAGCACGATTTTGCAGAAATGAGTGCAGAAAAAGCGCAGTAAAAAGTTATATTGCACGGTGCGTACGCGTGACCATGGAGATCCAGTGCGCGCGCGTACGTGTAGTACGCGCTCCCTCGAGTTGCATTGCAGTTATTGTAGGCTACGCGTAGCTAATATTGTACGCTCCACCATGATCCCCAGCGCAACGTACGCGTAGCTAGCTAGCTAGAGCGGCCAGCGGGGTATTATTAAAAAGCAAATTTTTATTTTACTTTTGCCTTGGATTTAGGCCTGTTTTGACTTTTGGATTTTATAATGAAGCCAGGAATTTCAGCTGTCTGATGTAGACTCGTCTCTAGACCCACTGTATGGATTTTATTTTTAATCAAGGCAATGAATCCCATTGACTTTTTGGTAAGCCTGCAAGGTCTTAGTCTAATTAGAAGTAGGTCTAGAACCAACATAACTCTAGATCTAGATCTAGATCGAACTCTCGTAGACTCTAACTTATTAGATCTAGAGGGATCTAAAGTTTCGTTTTTGCTATTTGTGTCGCTATTTTATAAAACAAATAACGCACTTGACCCTGATGTGCAAAACGTAAATGCAGTAAACGCTCGGTTTCTTCAGATGGTTCGCACTGTCAACTCGCCGCAAGCGGCTCGTTGCACAGAGCGGCACCAATCTAAAGAAACCTCGCGCGTACTGCATTCACCGCTATTGCACTCTGGGACGTGCGTTATTTGTATAATGTCACCTAAAACAATACGTGTAATATATTAAATGAACTCACCTAAGTTCTGCCATTATTCATTCTCACTCTAAGTCTAAAGTCTCTAGACAAAGGAACCGTAATCAACTCGATAGCTTTTCCTCCACTCGAGATCCTCTCAATGAACGATTGTAAATATAAATACGATCGCGTAGCATTGATTGCGTATTGGCGATCGACATTCTTCTCAGATGGCGCTGCCCCCTCCCAGGGGCGGATCTAGCTTTTTGCCAAGGGGGGGGGGTGGGGTTGACCAAGTGACGGATCCAGGATTTTTTTCTAAAAATCGCGCCGTTTTACTCTTATACTTTTTCTTCTTCTTTTTTCCTTATTTTTGTCACCCTTTTTTTCTTCTTGTTTTCCACTTGGCCGCCCAAGGGGGGGGGGGGTAAATCGCCAACCCTCCCCCCTAGATTCACCCCTGCCTCCCTTCTCCAGTCCCCGCCACGTCGGTTCCCTGGTCGCCCTCGATCCGCCACCCCCCCCCCCCCCATGTATCTCATTACCCTATCACCAGATAAACTGGAAAAAAATTGTCTAATTTGGAAGAAATGAAAAGAACAATTACTTTTTTTTTATTTGCCTAATTTACCCTCCAATATTATAAAATTCATAATACGTTTTTTGTTTTGTAAAGATGCATGCGATCATAGCCTATATATTGTTAGAGCTATAAATAGACAATGTAGAAATGCATTGTAGTTATTGTTAAGCATGATTTTTGAATATACGAGAATTATTTATCGTCATAAAAACGAGTATATTATTTTATATTGTAGCTCACGTCATATCAGAGATAGAAAATTAGATCTCGTAAAAGACGACTGAAAACAATAATTCCATGTTTTAAATGAATAAATTTCTTTAATTTGTATGCACTTAGGCATATACAAAAATTAATATTTTTAAATGTTATCCCTTGAAATCATTTTGAGAAAAATATATAAACACAATATTATATTTTAAACGAAACTGATACATCAATTCTATGTAGCGTTAATCGATCAAATCAAAAGTAGGCATATCGGACCTAAACTTGTCCTTGAGTGCCTAATAATGTTCCCTCAAGGCCCACATGGACCTTTAAAAAAAGCATAGGAATACCCCGGGTTTGGGGGGGGGGGGTACTCCCATGTTAAGACATATCGGGGATTTGCCCCTCTTATGGGTCACTTTTTCACCCAAAAACCTAAACATGGGTCCCATTTTCAACAAAAATATCACTAAACGTGGGTCCGTTTTTCAAAACTTCCAATTTTAGGGTGCTTGCGTGGCATAGGCCTACATCCAACAATTATTGTGAAAAAAAAATGATGGGCCTTCATTTCGAGAAAATCCCCTAAAATGGGTACCCTTTTCTACCAAAATGACCCTTAAAAATGAGTAGGGTTTCGAGGCTTGAGCGGCACACCCCCGTCCAATCCGAAGCTGAGTACCCCCCCCCCCCCCCCCCAAGGAGGCATACAAATAACCCCTGCCCGGTGATCCAGCCCCCATCACCCCCTCCCACCCACACAAGCTGTCATTGTATCATGTAGCTGCTTAATTATTGCATAAGAAGAAATCACTTACAAAAATGGATGATCCGGAAGTATGATTTTAGGGAAAGTTCGCAAAACATCTGAACCAGTAGCGTTCATCAGTCGGACAATAAAATCACATTTCCTTCTCCGTGTAACGGGGCGGGTAAAAGCCCCTTTAAAGTGTTGGGATGTTGTTTCTTTACATTTTGACAGTTGACCTTTTTGGATAAGTGCATTATTTAGGTACATGAAGTATCATTTTGTATGTTTAAAAAAAAACTCGAATCGGTTTGTTTATATCAACATTATAAGAATTAAGAAGTGTGCTCCAAATGTTAGAACATACCCAATAGATACCCCAAAGGCCCCGATCCGCTATACACTAACTTTAAATTCAGCTTATTCTTGACCGGGCAGAGAGAATTGACTTTGCAAATTTGTAGATATTCATTTTGGCCTCTCCATAATTATTTGTACGGTATATGTACTACCAATACTAATATAAGGCAACATATAATATAAGACACCCTCCAAGTCGTTTTAGGTTTTTGTTTTGTTGAAAGGAGGAGAAACTGGACATCCCTCGGAAGGCTCGGGTAACCTGGAAAGCTTTGGGCGAAGTTTAAGTGGGGAAAAAACAAAAATTCTTATCACCAATAAATTACACGTGATTGTTGCAAAAAAAATTAGTGCATGCAGGAGATATCCTCTTTGAAATATAGGAGACTTTCCTCTCTTGTAAAGATGACCTAACCGTATATCGTTTTTTTGTTCTTGCTAAATCAATATTTTTTGGGGTCAGCTAGCTGTTGGCTAAACTCAACATTATTTTAGCCTTACACTCAGGGGCGTACGCAGGGGGGGGGGTTTTGGGGGTTCAAACCCCCCCCCCTTTGGTATTTTTATGTGTGTAAACCCCCCTAAAAAAAAAAAAAAAAACCCGTTTGGTTTTTTTTTTTTTTTTTTTTTTTTTTTTTAATTATTAAAAAAAAAAAAAAAAAAAAAAAAAAAAAAAAATTATACCCACGGTTAACCTAAAAAAGGTGACCTTACTCCCCCCCCCAACGAAGAAAAATGTCAAATTTTGAAATTTCGAGACCAAAAAAAAAAAAAAAGTGTCCGCTTACCCCCCCCCCCCCCCCCCCCCCCCCCCCCCCCCCCCCCCCCCCACTGAGCGACTTTTCGGCCGGTGTCATAGGCGATTTGTTCCGTGCAGGCGATCGGTTCCTCCGGAACCGATCGCCTGGATATGTACCCGCCGATTTGTTCCGGATTCGTAGATTCGTTCCGCTAGTCACAGGCGATCGGTTCCGGCCAGGCGATCCGTTCCGAATCTCATCGGAGAGCGTGCGTGCTCACGTATTATTGAATACACGCCATGGTACACCCCTAAAGCAAAATGAACTATTCTGGTCGGCCTTTGCAACCAATCAAACTTCTCCAAATTAGCTACGCCAACGATTGCCAATTTGAGAACTTTGTATAGAAATGCAGATTCCCGTTGTTCAAATATGTTGATAATTGCGGCCAATGATTGACCACAAACAGCGCCGTCGCGAAGCGACGGGGACTGGGTGGTCTAGCAAAAAGGGCAGTTGTTGCCATAGGCTTAGTTTGCCTGTAAAAGCAGATGTCGGGGTGTTTTCTAATCAGGCCTTCTAATTTGGTTTGAATGCTGCTTTTTTGATATCGTGTTACGTCAACCACCTATTACCGGGCTTCGATCATCACAGAATCTAATTATGCATGTGGGCTGCATGCATGATGTACATGTAGACTCTAGTTTAATAAGAGATGCGGGGTGGGGTGGGGGGGGGGGGGGCCGGGGTCAACACAAAAAGAAATGAGTGGTCGAGCTGATAATTAAGAAGGACCAATAAAAATTAAAAAAAAGAAATGAAGAGAAAGAAAATTCCTCAAGTAAAAGACGTGTCCGGCAGAATAAAAAAAAAGAAATAAAAGAAAAAGCCGACATATTTTGTTGAATTTTCAACCCTTGGTACTAGCCGACAAAAAATAAATAATATTGGTTTTCATTGCAACAATAAATACAAAAGTATCAAGATAAAGCTAAAATTTATTTTTACCATGTTTATTCGACACAAGTAATAAAAATATACGCGATTATATAAGCAGAAACGTTCGGCCAATGTCGGATAAGAACGGCGGCTTTCGAACGTATCTGCGAACGAGTCGATCCAGTAGATTCGTTCCGAGGAACAAATCGGCGCGCCGATCTGTTCCGCGGAACCCGGAACAAATCGCCTACCACACCGGCGCGATTTTCAAATTTTCGGGAGCAAAACCCCCCCCCCCCCCCCTTGAAAAAATCCTGCGTACGCCCCTGCTTACACTGGTCTGATTCTTAAAACAATACTGGGTTCGTTATAAACACACAGGTTTGTCTGGTCGTATTTTGAATGATGGAATAGACCTAACTTTATGTGAGCACTAATTTCTTTTTTCTTTTCTTTTTGGCCGGGGGTCACGTGCCCCCTGTGCCCCCCCCCCCTTAGATCCGCCACTGTGCATGGTAGTCCTTCTATACCTACGTCGAGTTATGACTGTTTTTAAATCATGTGCCTAACATACACAGAATGTAACCGGGGTGAAAGGGGAGAACTCCCAATACGAACAAAAAATACCCAATAATTTTGCTTTTCATCATTAACAAAATCAAACGTTTGTATCATATCAGATCTATGAAGAGTCATATAAGCTAAACAAAAAAAAGAGAATCGTCAAAAATAATGAAAATACACCTTAATTCCTATAAGTTGTGCTACATTGACAAATGTATTATGATGATCCAACAAATTTGTAAGAGATTTATTTCTTTTTTAGTTATAGGATGAATTGTCCCAGATTCCCGCTTCTCCCACATCCCAGTGACCTCAATCTTTTACCAACATCACATTGTTATTAAAAATATTTTTCTACTTCTTTTTTTCTCTCCTTCTTGGTTATGAATTTGTCAGCTGGGGTGGGGGCAAAATCACCCCCCTCCCCGGGCCCTTTCAAAACTGGCCTGCCGATGTACTCTAGATCGACGGTGACTGTGGAAGAAGAAAGTTTATTAGATTGAATTAACTTTCTTAGGATTAAACATACCAGATCCAGCCCCCAAAATAATAATTCACCCGCCGGTTTGCGATTATTTGGGACAAGAGTTTGTGACGGGAATTTCGATGTGTGGGGGAACTCCCGTGCAGATCCCGATCCAACTCCTCATGCTTTGTGCGCCGCGACGCAGGGTACCGGTAGCGTTATTTTTTTATGCGGCACAGATTGGGGCATGGCGCGTGTTGAGCCTATGGGAAGTACGTTCTTTCCCTTCTGAATAATGTCTGCACATACGTGAGACTAGTCATGTTCGCTAGCGCATTAGCGCTGCGAAGAAGTTTGAATATCCATCGCGAACTATGTGTTTAGATAACATTCCTCTTCGTTTAAGTTAGTTAAGTTTTATTGACTAATTATTGTGATATTCTCCTTATTGACGTGCTTCCTCCTCTTCAGATTTCCAATTTCATTTTAATTGTTGATGTAATGATTTTCTATACGGTAGTGGATTACACGTAACACTATTAAAAACAGACCTCTACTACTTATACTGTCTAGTACGCACACGACCACTAT